AAGTGGAAAGGTCAGAAGCTCAAGTGGATTCCAAGCTAGCCTGGGATACATGAGGTCCTGTCTCAGAAGGAAGAGGGTGGGGGTAAGACAAATGAACAGTGCTGTCCTGCCTTCTTTTAAAGTCAGCTTGAAACAAGCTAGGGCCATTTGGGAAGAGGGACTCTCAACTGAGAAAATGCCTCCATAAGATCAAGCTGTAGGCAAGAAAGCCTTTTTTGGGCAGTGGTTCTCAACGTTCCTAATGCTGTGTAACCCTTTAATACAGTTCCTCATGTTGTGGTGACCCCCAACCAGAAAATTATTATCGTTGCTACGTCATAACTATAATTTTGCTGCTTTTATGAATTGTAATGTGTTTTCCGATGGTCTTGGGCAACTCCTGTGAAAGGGTTGTTTGACCCCCCCCCCCAGACCCAAGGGGTTGAGAACCACTGCTTTGGGATATTTTGTTTTCTTTTTTATAATTAGTGATTGGTGTAGAAGAAGCCATCCATTGTGGGTGGCACCATGCCTGGGCTGGAGTTCTTTCTATAAGAAAGACTGAGCAAGCCATGAGGGAGCCAGCCAGTAAGCAACATTTTTTGTAGCCTCTGAATCAGCTTCTACCTCCAGGTTCCGTCCTGTTTGAGCACACGGACTGCATTCAGTGGTGCACTGTGATGTGGAAGAGTCAGAAAAATAAACCCTTTCCTCCCCAGGTCACTCTTGCTCATGCTGATCTGTCACAGCAATAGACACCATGACTAAGACAAGTGCCAAGGAAGGTACTCATTTCCTTAAGGAAAAGGAAGAGGGAAGCTGTGAACAGTCCCTGCCCAAGGGAAACAGAATTTTTTAAAATACCCTAAATATCAGGAAGAATGTTGGAGGAAGAAAGAACAGAAAATGAAAGGCCCACGATAAATGTAGAAATATATGTAGACATGTATATCGCTCTGGCAATTTCTACTATGCATAAAGAACTTTCAGGGGAAGGAAGATCCCCCATCAGTCAATATCATTCTCTCTCTCTCTCTCTCTTTCTCTCTCTCTCTCTCTCTCTCTCTCTCTCTCTCTCTCTCTCTCTCTCTGAGATCAAACTCAAGGCTTTATAAATCTAAGCACATCCTGGACCTCAAAGCTACATCCCTGGCTCAAATAGCTTCTTTATACACAGAGCTGTTTTCCCCTAGGACGTTTCCTTTTTAATCTGTTTCATTAACCCCACAAACTAAGGGCTGCACCTGAGTACTGTAATGAAGCCCTTTTAGAACAGCATCCATCCCTCAGTCATATTTAATACAAGTGCAAGTGCTAAAATGTAATCCCGTCGTTCTGAGTCTGTGCATCATCTCTCTAAACACTGGAGTCATAATTAGAGTTTCTAATTATAAACATTTCACATCTTGCCAGCTGGGCCTCTTTCTTACCTACTGGGCTCTCATTTATCTGCAGGAGGCCACTACTGTAATACAGTGGGCTTAGAAGGAGCCTGTTGCCCTACCAATATTTTGTCTTGTTTGGTTTGTGGCCAGATTTGTACATACAATTCTTGGCTGCTCGTGCTGGCTCTTTAGAGACGTGCTATAAGTGAACCACCCCAAAGTGCTATTTTGGGGTTTGACAGGTGGGTGACATGTGGATGGGTTGAGAATGGGAGGTCACGGGTTGATGTGTGCTAATAAAAGGTTGGTGAGATTGTTCCCTCTCTGGCCACTTCCACTAGTGATCTGGGTTGGAACGCCTGCCTGTGGCCTCATGTTCTGGGGTCATCTACAAAAGCTGGGACTGTAGTCACTGTAACCTATACGAAAGTGACCTAGAAATAGAAAACTTAAATATGTGAGACATTTTTCTCCTGCTTTTCATGATTCAGCAACCTAGTTTTCAATAGCAGGGGTTGCTTGTTCATTAACTGTGTGTGTGTGTGTGTGTGTGTGTGTGTGTGTGTGTGTGTGTGTGTGTATGTGTGTGTGTGTGCGCGCAGTTGGTGGAGGTGGTGGATGAAGTGTTCAGTGGTATGTATGATCAGGGTTTTACACCAAAATTTTAAAGAGGCCTTCCCTTTAAATTTGGAAAAAGCAAAAATCCCATCACTCTACTGTCTAATATAGTACCCAAAGACATTAATCAGTCCTGTAAAGAAAAAACAATGGGTGAAAAAGAGACAGAAATTCTTTTTTCCCCCAGACAGTATGATCATTAACTCATAAGAAATGATAGAAGTGACTTTATTTATTTATTTATTTATTTATTTATTTATTTATTTTGAGACAGGTTTTCTCTCTGTGTAGCTTTGGAGGCTGTCTTGGAGCTAGCTCCGTAGACCAGGCTGGTCTTGAACTCACAGAGATCTGCCCTGCCTCTGCCTCCTGAGTGCTGGGATTAAAGGCAAGTGCCACCACTGCCCAGCTGACCATTAAAATTTAATACAGTCAAAGTTTCCATTTGTAAGCTGAGCTTATAAAGACAGCATGTCTCAAGCCAGTAATAATTGACTAGAAATATAATTAAAATGATCTGCAGCAATATCCACCAGGTTTCTGGGACACTCAGAAATCCACAAGCCTACTGTGAAGAATATTTCAAAGCTAATAAAGACTATATAAGGGGCTGGAGTGATGGCTCAGCGGTTAAGAGCACTGGCTGCTCTTCCAGAGGACCCAGGTTCAATTCCCAGCACCCACATGGCAGCTGACAATTGTCTGTAACTCAAGTTCCAGGGAATCTGACACCCTCACACCAATGTACATAAAATTAAATAAATTTTAAAAAAAGAATATATAAAACTGAAGTAAACAAAGAGATGTAAATTAAACCACACTGTCAAAAGGATGCCAAATTCCCCCATTTTTTTTTTTAAAGAACTCAAACTTATACCACTTATATAGAGGAATAAAGGTATACAAATATCTACATTACCATTGCCTTTATAGAAGATTTTGGAGGAGGCTGATCACTGCACGGTACGAAGCCTATGTTGCTGTAAAGCAGTGTGGGTGAGGGCAGCCAGCATACCAACGGGGAGAGATCTCAAAGGTGCATTTCCTGTAGGTAACATGGGAGTTAGTGTAAAGAAAGAAGGAAAGTGGCTGTTCGGTTATTGCCTAACACCAAAGTGTATTCTAGTGGACTAAAGACACAAATACCAGGGAGGTAAACGTTTACATAAGAATATGGGAAAATATTATGACCAGCATGTGAGAGAAGCACTTAAAACTTCAAGAGGATAAGCCACAAGAAAGTAATCACGTCAAAGTGATCTCCTATCACTCAGGAGTCAGGAGCAGGAAAGCCAGCTGGGTTACATCGTGAAACCCTGTCTCAAAAATACAAGATGAGGGGCTGGAGAGACGGCACAGTGGTTAAGAGCCCTGGATGCTAGGGTAGAGGATGGGAGTTGGTTCCCAGCACCCATCATAACCATCTGTAACTCCAGCAGTAACCGGGGCCTCAAGGCCCTCCACTCCTCTGTGGGTACCAGGCACATACATAATGCAGCTAAAATACTCAGGCACGTAGACCAACAACAAACACGCAGGTGATCCCAGTGCTTGAGGCTGAAACAGCACAGGGCACCCTGGGTACCAGACTTAGTGTACGTTTACCTTGGGGGGGTGGGCAGGTTCAGTGAGGGCCACCCTGAACAAAGCTCACAGGAAAAAAAGGTTTCCATGTCGGCGGCCAATAAGGAGTTAATGTCTTGAGCATGTAGACCCCATCCAAGTCACTGAAGTGAGAAGTGAACGTGGGTGACCATCTCCGCATGATAAGACTGAAGAGAACACAGGACACAGGGTGCAGCACCAGGTGGTTCTGGAGAGGAAGGTGAAAAAGAAGTGGATACAAGTTTAAAATGCAAATATACAAACACAGCCATAGATGAACATGGCCTCTAAAGTTGCCCTGGGCAAGGAAACAGGAACTCAACAAGCAGAGGAGCCAGAGGGAGTGAGTGACTCGTGCTTGCTGCCCCACCGGAATCAGGAGGATTGCTGCAAGTTCTAGGCCCACCTTTGGAACCCTGTCTCAGAAAACAAGACAAAAACACCCTTTAGAAAAAAAATGTTTAAGTAATGCTTTTTTTCCCCCGCGTGAGACAGTGTTTCTTTGTATAGCTCTGACTGTCCTGGAACTTCCTCTGTAGACCAGGCTGGCCCCAAACTCAGAGATTCACCTGCTTCTGCCTCCTGAGTGCTGGGATTAAAGGCGTGCACCACCATGCCCAGCAATGTATTTTTGCAGTAATGTGTTTTTTTGCAAATCTTTCTTACTTTTCTTTAAACTTGAACTGACTTAGATGGCAGCTGAGGGACATTACTAGGAAGGGCCCTGTCGCTGTAACTATTGTGCCCACACCGATGCAAATGCAGGTTTATTAAATTGTCCTACCTCAGGAGGGACCACGTCTAGCAAGCTGACACAGCAGCCTCCAGAGAGGGTGAAGTTCCCTGTCTACTGCTAGGTTTTAAAGACAAAAGTTACAGGATTACATCAGTAGGTACGGGTTGGTTTCTGATTGGTTGACATTTGGGAACAATCAGGAAAATTTCTCAAAGTCATATTTTGGCATGAAATACCTGTGTGCCAGGTATTCTCTTTGGTCAGTGCTGAGAGGGAACATTCTGTGGTTTCTATGGCTTTGTCTTGTTACTTGCAGGTGGCCTGTTGTTCATAGATACTAATAGTTTTCAGAACTGTATCCTGGAGGTTTTGGTTTCCCCTGGAGTTTCTTTTGTGGCCAAACAGTTCCCAGGAACCAAGTACCTTGGAGGCTGGGGTTTGGGGGGGGGGGTTTCTGGAGTTTCTTTGTGTTCAGTTTTGGCCCTAGGCTCTGGGAAGCCAGAGGATCTGGAGTTTCCTTGTGTTACAGGCCTATGTGTCTTTTCTGTAGCCTGTCATGGCTGCTAAAGCAGGGGGCTGAGTGAGGGTCTGGTCCCTTCATTCCTAGAAGTGAAGCCTTTTAGTTTATTTAGTTTACCCCTTTCAGTAACAACTGTTTTGTTTGCCAATTCACACAGGGTTGAAGCTTTGAGAGATGCAGCGACTGCTGTTGAACAAGAGAAAGAAATCCTCCTGGAGATGATCCACAGTATCCAGAACAGCCAGGACATGAGGCAGATTAGTGACGGTGAGAAATGTTGCCCCGAGCGAGTCCATGATGAATGGGAGTCAGCACTTGCCTGCCTTTGGGTGTGTGTACCCCAATTCAACATTAACAGCAGCTGGAGAGCAGCTGCAGCTGGTGGTGGTCATTGTTTTGGTGAGCTCCCCACCCCCACACTAGCCTGCGGGGCAGGCAAGAAGTATGGCATGCAGCCTACCTCAGGACCACAGCACTTTACAAGGTCCTGGGCTGCGGGGAAGTAAAAGCAGAGGAACAAAGTGGAGGTGGAGACTTGGGATGGTCTGAGGTGTGATGGGCTAAGGAACTAACGTAAAATGCACTGCTGTGCTCATCTGAGGAGTATGGCAGCCTAGGAAGAATGGATCACTGAATGCAGTGGGCTGGAATGCTGGGGAGATAAGCAGCTGGACCCAGAGTGCCGTCCATCCACCATGGGTCCTGCCTAGTCCTTCACCATCATGACAAAGGATTAATGTTTTAGGGAGCTCTGGACCTGGAAAAGAAAGGAGTTGTTGATGGTTCTGTGTAAACCTTGAAATGTTACCAAAGCCCGTGGCCACCACAACTTCCTGTCACTGGCCAAGACTTGAACCCAGGGCCAGCTTGAGTATGTCTGCAGGGGAGAAGACCAGGGCTGGCTTGGGAGCCCACTGGTCCTCCGTTGTCACTGCTACTTCTTGGCCGAAAGTGTGCAGTGTATTCTGACAGACATGTGCATCCTATCGAGCCCCCACCCTGCCCCACCTCCAGCCCTAGCCACCCTCCTAGCTAAATTTTGCTTGCTTTGAGTTTATGATTTCCATCCCAGCTGTAGGTGCCTCTGCCAAATGTGTGGACATACAGACTTGGGAATGACAGCTGGTCCTTACTGTGTAGACAGACTTCCAGGGAAAGGCATTCTGTAACCTAGCTCCGTCATCCAGCACGTCATCTGTTAATCCTACATGCTATGGTAGTTTTGGCGTTTACCTTTAAAAATTCACAGCAGTGTTTACACAAAATAAAGGTAGCCACAAGTGCATGCCTTGGCATTGCTGATGTGACAGGTTTCTGTCTCCAACTGACTGATGTTTCATGTTTAGGAGAAAGAGAGGAATTAAACCTGACTGCAAACCGCCTGATGGGCCGAACCCTCACTGTCGAGGTCTCAGTGGAAACAATCCGAAATCCCCAGCAGGAGGAATCCTTGAAGCACGCCACGAAGATTATAGACGAGGTGGTCAGTAAGTTCCTGGATGATGTGGGAACTGCCAAGAGCCACCTAATGTCCCTCTACAGCGCGTGTTCCTCTGAAGTGCCGCCTGGGCCAGTGGACCAGAAATTTCAATCGATAGTGATCGGTTGTGCTCTTGAAGATCAGAAGAAAATCAAGAGACGGCTGGAGACACTGCTGAGGAACATTGACAACTCCGACAAGGCCATCAAACTACTAGAGCACTCTAAAGGAGCCGGTCCCAAAACTCTGCAGAACATGGACGGCAAATTTAATTAGCCCTCAAACCCACGGGCCCTTACAAACGCTGTTGAAAAAAAAAAAAGAAAGAAAGAAAAAGAAAAACCACTATTTTAAATAACTAGTTCTTTATGTTGGGCATAACCACTTACACCGCATCCTGATAACTGTTTCAGATGAGGAAGTATCCCAGTGTCAGCAGACACACGACACTTAAAAACCACAAGTATTTCAGTCGCCTCCCAAGAAGTTTTGAACAGCATTCCTGTCTTGCACTGGGCTCCAGCTCTGTATGTTTAACCTCTGAAGATGCACACATAGTATGTGGGGAAATAAATAAAGGGCAAATGCAGCACTGCTCTTTCCTTGATTTCAGTACAGGCGCATCCAGCCCCTGGAGCAAGGTAGTCACACCACAGTGTGAGCAGAGCACCTAGCCCCTGCAGCAATGCTCACACCACAGTGTGAACAGCACCCAGCCTCTGGCAGTGCACTCACACCACAGTGTGAACAGGGCACACAGTCCTTGGTGCAGTGCACTCACACCACGGTGTAAACAGGGCATCCAGCCCCTGGAGCAGTGTAGTCAAACCATGGTGTGAACAGGCACCCAGCTCCTAGAGCAGTGTTGTCACACCACAGTGTGAACAGCACCCAGCCCCTAGAGCAGTGTTTGTTTTCACACCACAGTGTGAACAGCACCCAAGCCTCTGGCAGTATACGCACACCATAGAGTGACCAGAATACCCAGTCCCTGGAGCAGTGTGTTCACAACAGTGTGAATGAAGCACCCACCCAATACCTGGAGCGGTGTGTTCACACCAGTGTGATGGAGCATCCAGCACCTGGAACAGTGTATTTCTACCACACAGTGTGCCTAGAAGGATAAAAGGAAAGACATCAGAACCTCACCCTGCATGTTCTCAATTTTTGGGCCATCTGTTTTATGCATCTCATGACATGTTTTTTATGTGTGTGGAAGCATGACATAAAATGTGAGGAAACCGCTTCATTTTACCATGGTGAAGGTCCGTATCCACCAGGCTGCAGCAGCCTCTCTTCAGTGTGGGTGCAGATGAGCTGCCCTGACGTTACCAAGTGTGCAGTGGGAGCCTAGAATAATGACCCAGTAGTCACTTCTCTGTGGACATGTGGGTGGTTTCAACTTGTTTCTATGACTACAGCATATTTATGTCCTTGGAGCTTTTTTCTGTTCTTGGTCTTCTTTGTATAAAATTCCATTAATGGGTTCATTGGGCCAAGAGATATATACATTTTCACGGCCTAAAAACATATTTCTAAATTTTTATAAGTTTTATCAGTTTGTACTGCCTTCAGTAATTAAAAGAATCCATTTCACCGAACTCTAGCACTGGGCTTTGCTTTTCTCCCATTAGACACAAAGCCCCTTAATTAATCAGCACCTGGTTTGCCGAGAAAGCTGGCCAGCAGGCCATCTTCCTGTGACTAAAAGCAGCAATGGAACACTATTTACTAAAAGTAAATAGTGCTGGTGGCACACTGACTTCTCAGTAACAACCACTCTGAAGTAAATCGCCTCCAACAGTTTTTATTAGGACGGAGACATTTTCCATACCAAAAACCAAAGATCTATATGGATTGTAATCTCTCAGTACAGACGTTACTGAGCTGAACCTTCTATGCCAAAATGCTATGCCAGACTCTGTGGACCCAGCCGGGGCAAAGCATCTGCCCGCAGACTTAGCCTGCTACCAGGCTCACTGTCACCGTATTTTCTGTCACCAGCTTCGTTTTTGTTTGTTTGAGACAGGGTTTCTCTGTGTAGGCTTGGCTGTCCCGGAACTTACTCTGTAGACCAGGCTGGCCTTGAACTCACAGAGATCTGCCTGCCTCTGCCTCCCCAGTGCCAGGATCAAAGGCGTGTGCCACCACTTCCTGGCCTGTGGCAGCTTCTTAAACTTAAGAAGTACACAAATTTCCCTTAGGCTCTCAAATGTCAGGCTCTCTGGTTCCTTTCTGCCCTGGGAAGATATGCCGACCTCCCCCAGTTCACCCACTCTACATCCATCCAGAACTTCTGTCACAAATTCTGGCTATCTCCTTGACCTTTGTATTCTTTGTATTATTTCCTTCTCATTCTCTATAGGTTTTGTGTGTATCTGTGCATGCACTCAAGCTCACAGAGACAGAAGAAGGCTGGAGCTGGAGTTACAGGGAGCTCCTGAGTTGCCTGAAACGACTGCAGAGAATTGAACTCTGGTCCTCTCCAAGAGTAGCAAGTGCTCTTACCCACCAGGCCATCTCTTTAGCCCTTGGTGTCATTTTTCACAGTGGAATTTTTTGGATGGTCACTGATTGCTTCTCACAAAATTGACTATGCTCCACCCTCTCCATGCCTCTTAGGGTTGCTGATCTGTGTCTCCAGCTCTTGGAACCTCCAGGGAATGGGCCTGCTAAATACATACATCTGTCTCAACTGCATGTGACACACATTTTAGGACAGCCCCTCGGCTATCTGGTAGTTCTGCTTCCCAGGACTCATCTCTACACTAGCCCTTTAAAGCCACTCTCTGCCTTTCTCTTTAAGGGCAGGCTGCATTGTGGCAACTAGCAGGACCTTCAGAGGTGCTTGCAGCAACCTACTCACAATTCGTCAACTAAGGGCAGAGTGAAAATTCTGTCCAGGTAAAAATTACTAAGTACAGCAGGGCAGCAGTGACACACGCCTTTAATCCCAGCACTCGGGAGGCAGAGGCAGGCGGAACTCTGTGAGTTCGAGGCCAGCCTGGTCTACAAAGCGAGTTCCAGGACAGCCTCCACAGCCACAGAGAAACCCTGTCTCGGAGGAAAAAAATTTTTTTTACTAAGTGCACAATTGACATGTGAGTGATTTATGGATCCTTCCAGAAGCTCTGAGAGCACAGGGCGATGAATAGTTGGCTCCCAGGGTGATGACTGTGAAGCAGGGCTCCCCAGCTGCATGCTCCAGGGGATACTACTTTTCAACCAATAAGTGAGAGTGTTTGGGATGGAGGATCTGGGGTCTTCCTAGGGAGTGGCTCTTCTGGATGAGGAGAGGCTGTGGTGCTCAAAGGGCTGCATAGAAGTTCTGTCCTTCCTGCAGGGCCAATATGGGGAGCTCAGTGCCTTCCAGAGCTTGAAGCCCAGCGATCCACCCCCAGGAGGCTGTCAGCTGTCATGACAGAGCTGATCCAAAAGCAGCTGCAGGGAGAGGTGGAGAAACAACACTGTGGAAGGGACTTGAGCAAACCCAAGTCAGGGAGGCTGAGGCTGGAGGCGCCGCCATCAGAAGATAAGGGAACCAGTCTTGCTGGGTGTTTCCAGCATGGTCTTTAAGCTTCTGTGTCCTGTGCTTGTCTCACATGAGCTGGGAGAGGCTCAGGCCACCTTGGGAGAAAAGGCTAGACTGTATCACAGTGGAAACCAAGTGCTACAAATCCCAGCTTGCTGCTACAGCAGCAGACGGAAACTATGGCTCAGCTGCAGCAGGAGTTCAGCAGGCTCAGGCAGCAAAAGCAGCTGCCCCTGGGAAGGCCTCCCTGTCGTAGGGGGAGGGGAGAGGATAAGGCAGTTCCAGGGTCTACATTAGAGTAGCTAATATAGACAAACATCCCCTCCCAACACACACACACACACACACACACACACACACACACACACACACACACACACACACACACACACACACACACACACACACACGATGACGTAGTATAGAATGGAGCTCAGTCCAGTACCTCATCAGAGTGCTTAGACATCACCCTAAAGAAGTGATCAACTTAGGGTATGGTGGTGAAGGCTTTTCATCTCAGCCCTTGAGATGCAGAGACAGGCAGATCTCTTGGGAGTTCAAGATCAGCCTGGCCTGGTCTATAGGGTACCTTCCAGGTCAGCCAAGGCTACAAAGTGATCTCACTCTTGGTGTTACATTTTACTTTTTCTTCTATTATTATCATTATGTGTCTGGGTGTTTTACCTTAATGTAGGCCTGTGTCTTTGGAGAGCACTGGATCCCCAGAATTGGCTTTGAAGACACTTGTGAGCCACCATGTGAGTGCTGGGATGGAACCATCTGCAATGAACCATCTATCTCTCTAGCCCGAGGTCCACTTTGAAATTGGAAAATAGGAAAGAATATGCAGTCACTAAAAAGCACAGAAAAATCTGAATACCAAATATTTGTCATTTTCAAATGACCAATCCTGACAAGTTGCTATATCTGAAGTTCATCTATATGATGATGCTATTTTGAAAGCTGGACAATACAAGTATCCAAGGACACAAAATAAGGTAAAAACGGCTGCAAATTTGGAGGCAGCAACAGGGACATGGATGAGTTTAAATTTAGCTGTTCTCCACTTGTGTATGCTTACCCATACAAGGAAATGGGGTGGAATGGACGTTGCAGGACAGTTCTACACAAACAACGGTGAGCCAGCAACGCCACCTTTTGACCAGCAGAGGGCGAGGCGGGGCGGGGTGGGGCAGCTGCATCATTTATGGTTCAAATTCTGCTCTCCTCTGTCTATAAAAATCAGAGTAAAGATGCTGAGTGAGGAAGTGTAAATGAGAGAGTGGCTGAGTGGGTTGTCTGACACAATGAACTAAACTATATAGTTGTTTTACACCCGAAGATGGGATAATGGTGTTTGGGGCCAAAAGCCTGAAAACATGAAAATAACTTTCTTTAAAAGACTAGTAGTAGCCAGGAGGTGGTGGCACACAGCTTTTAATCCCAGCACTCAGGAGACGGACAGGTGGATCTCTGAGTTTGAAGTCAGTCTGGTCTACAGAGCAAGTTCCAGGACAGAGAAACCCTGTCTGAAATCCCTCCCCCCCCCTCTCTCTCTCTCTCTCTCTCTCTCTCTCTCTCTCTCACACACACACACACACACACACACACACACACACACACACACACACACACGACTAGTAGTAATTAGATTACCGGAGAAAGTTAGCTTCTAAAGAAAAACCATTTACAGCATGATGCTATTAAGTTACATTAAATAACTGGCACCCAGACTATGAGCATTAGTGACGAAGTAGCTAAGTGCAAAATATTTTTAAGTCATTTTGATAAGTTAAATAAGTCACACCTGCCTATTTATTTACATAGTTGTTCATTATAAATGGTTTCATACCTCACCGGGTGGCCAAAGACGGCCTTGCACTGACACCACACCTAGGTCTTTTGCCCACTCCGCCCCATACTGGCGGTCCCCATCACACACACCACACAGAATTCTAGCTTTGAAATGTTTTATTATTTTGGTTATTGGAATTCATCTCTGTTGAAACTGTAATCAAGTAGTACATTTTTAAATTAATCCCAAAGGCGTAAGTACCACTCAGTATAAATACATACCAGCAGTTTCCCATTCAGATTTACAAAAGCATTATTTATTAGTAACAAAAATATAGAAGGGGTTAAGTTTTTCCTTTGATCCAAAGATTTTATTTTTAAAATACCATTTATCAACATCCTACTATAGATATTTCAAGAGACAACAGAAAAGGAGTAGTAACAAAAAGTCCAGTGGCCAAATCATTCCGTTATCTGGGAGCTTGGTGCCTGGGTATTTCAGACCCCACTGTGGTTTATGTACCTACCTATATGCAGATAACTTCCTTTGTATGATAGCTTTTTAATGAAACCCTTAAGAGTAACAAGATATTCATATAACTGTTAAGGTGATTAAAGCCACCTAGTCACTGGATGGCTGCAGCAGAGGAATCGCTCACCCTGTGAGCCCCCTGCAGCCAGTCTGTGAGGGATGCTCCAATGAGGTGTTCCCAGAGTACCTCACAGCAGGTACCAGAATCTCTCTAAAGGATGACAAGAGCACAACACTTCAGGGTGAGACGGATTCTAAGGCCAACTCCTCATCCTAAGTGTTCTGACCAAGACCCCAGTCCCTGGTGGCAAGCACAGGGTGGGCCCACACTCCTGAGTTCTTCTCAGCACTGCCTTCCCAGGTCAGAAGCAACTGCTTAACTTCACTCTGCAGGGAAGCATCAGTCACACAACTTCTCTGTGGTAGTGTTAGCTCTAATTTGAAAACGACATGCGTGCTGTCACTTTGGGTGGATAAAAAGAAACAGTTAAATCTGCGTTTGTTTGTACTGCCTTACAAGGGCCGTTTTGTATACTATTTAATTTACAGGCAGAGACTAGAAGAAGAAACCTGAGGAACTCTTAAATATGGCAATTATTCCACAGCTGTGTGCTTGACACTAAACACTGGCGATGATGCGAGAAAGTAAACTAGAGCATAAATGTACAGGGTTCTCTTTATCGTCACCAAGGGGCGTCACCAGAATTTCGTATTAAAGTTCTTAAAAGTTACAGTCACAAAAGAAAGCAATGTGACCTTTAAAGGTTTCAGAATTAAATACATTGATAAATCAATTACTTGTGGCTGATATTAGACCTTTCATAGTTAAGTATAAAATATAGCAATGCAAAGTAAAAATTCAAATGTGTAACAAAGACTTCCATTAAAAAAAAAAAGATAAAACAAAGTACATAAAATTCTGTTACAAACATTAAAGAATCAGCAGCCATCATCAAACTGGGTCATTATTTTATAGAGAAGAACCACACACCTTTTTACCACACATTAAGCGACTATGAATAAAACTACAGTGTTCTATAATGAATTCTTCCAATTTAACCCTGCCAATTAAAAATGACAAGACTGTTTGCCACCAAATACACTTGTGCAGAAATTAAGGCGACTGAATGTGAAGAGAGAAACCATGACGCACACAGGTACCCAAGGACCCTGGTTAGGAACCATGGTCCCCAACTCTTAGGCCACCACCAGCAATGGGGGTGCTAACAACGGATAACACAAAACAAAGATCTTTACTACTTGGGGATGAAATGGTGCCAGACCCTTTCAATGCTGTGAAATTCCAGCATTCAGTGTGGACTATGTAACAAGGGCACTCCGTAACTTCTACTATGTTCTTGACATTAATCTGGGCAGGGGAAGGACAGTATAATGGGAGTAAACATAAAAAGAAAAAAGAACAAGAGAAATACATCAATCATGTATATATTTTGGACATATTTTGACAAAAATAATAGATAATGACGTCATAGCACATTTTTCAAGAAAAATCATTTTTATATATTTTGAAGTCCTGTGAAAACTAGGAATGTGGAAAGGAGTGATTGAAACTTTAAAAACAAAAACCAGCAATCAAGAATAATCAGTTTTTAAAAGACCTCATGAAATTATCTCTCTTTGGCAGGCTAGTGTCCCAACTTAGAAGTTTGCAAGCATCATTTACATACTGGGTCATTTCTTTACAGACATCTAGGTGCTGACAGCTCCTGATAAGGTGCCATGTAAACCAAAGGCCACAAAATTGTACGCAATAATCTTAAAATGCTATCCAAGGTGTGTAAACAGAAGGATACTTCAGAGTTGCAAGGCTCCAGAAAATCCATAACCTGGGCCAGGACCAGAGACTACCTTTTGTACATTCTGAAAAAATCATTCCCTTCATCTTCAAAGTTCAGAGTTGGGGGTCTCAGTCACCAACCTGGAAACTAGTGTGCACATACTTTCCAAGATCTTCTGAGTGACTGTCGGCTGCTGTGGACTAGGGAATGTGGCTAAGCGTGTGACATTGAGAGCTCACCGTCTTACAGTGGCCACAGAGAAGACTGTAGGACTCTCACTAGGGAGAGGCCTGGCATTTGGATGTTCGCATTCCCTTCACCTACACTGTTGGAGAGGACACTGCCTTTAAAAGATGCCACGAATACAAATCCTACTAGTAAAGCACTGGAAAAATTACGGGGCTGTTTTGGCACATGGCACATTTAAGTCCAAGTTCGTTTTGTAAAACATGCCTCGACGTTCTCATGTGAGACCAGAAAGATACACAATGTGTAAATGGTTGAATGGGTGACCTACTTAGAATCTACAAACCCTTTACTAGCACACAGACCTTTGTTTTCTGGGGCCAGGTGTCTGCATGCACACTCCCACATCTACACTTTACAGACATTGCACGAGGCCCACTGACAACACACGCTAGTGCAGGCTGACAAAGTCTGAATCTTTCCTTCAGTACTTTCTTTAAGCATTCAGAATGAACATTCCAGAAAAGCTAGACGATCCGTTCCAGAAAAAGAATGCTTGCTATCTCTCCTTGGTCCATAAGAGTAAAACTGGACCCAATATATTTAGTCATCTCATTTTTGTTTCAGCATTTAAAATTCAGCAAAACCCGTTTTTGACATGTCCTATAGTGTCCCTTCAAAAACAGGAGAAGCTTCGTCTAATGTAAAGAACTAGAATGAGTGTACAAGGCAGTAATTTTCCAGCAGAGGTCTCCATCTACATTCTGAGAAGCGCTGCAGGGCAACATTACAATGTCAGCTTTCAGAGCGAGGTCCGCTAAGACTCGAACACACGGTGACGCTGGGTGCTCCTTAGGGAACTGCAAATGCAATCCTGATCTCCTCCCTGAAACAACTTAAGGTATACTACAGCTGCTAAAAGGATTTCTGGTTTTCTTGGTCCTTTGTTTGTTAGGTCTAAGATGGATGACGTCTCCACCATTAAGGGTACTTGAATTCTGACCCAAGTGACTTCCAACGGACGTGTTAAAGACACCTGTATAAATTAGGGAGAAACAGAATGACTGATACACCCCAAAGTCACCAATCATATACACATTATTTATTAGTAAAATTAGATATATAATTAAATACCTCCAGTTGCTTTCATTTTTTATTATACTGGGAGAGAAACATTTTAAGCAGGCAGTTCAGCTTTACTAATCTCGGTGCTGCACTGCCACAACCTATCTCCATTACCTCTTTGCATCCTGAGGCTAAAGCAGCATAATCAAATTGGCCTGCAGGTAAAGTGACAAGTGAATGATAGAGGAAGCTATCACACGTACATTTTCAAATGTGCTATGCACAAAATGGAACCTCTAACATATGAACTGCCGAGCATCTAGATACATGAAACTCTGGGCACAGGACACCATCGAGGAAACAGAATCCAAGACTGGTTCCTGCCCACAAGAAGCTGCAGTCTAACAGGTGATATCGAATATACAAGTATACCATATGACAATGTACCAAGCATGGCTCTCATCTTTGTGCAAGCCCAAATCCATGGCCAGTTACTGGGAAGAGAAGATAACATGGACTTCAGGGACTGCTAAACTTAACCAGCATCTAACACACAACAGAGAAGGATCAGTGAGACGCAGTGAGATGAGAGGGAAAGGTAGAAAAGGAGAAGACTCGGAAGAGATGATGCTGTGGAGGCTGTTTGTGTACACACGGGTCTTCTCAGTCTGCGGGGTGAAGCGGAAACTCAGCAGTAACAACTCCTAACAAGAGAGCGATGGATTCTCACGGAGCTTAGCAATCTCATCCTGACACATAGAAAAGGTAAGCACAACACAATAAATGGAGTAAGTGCCAGGTAAACACGTGGGCTGAAATTTCCCAAGCACTTACCGATTTTGTTACTACTTGTATGTGTCTGCTCTGGCTCTTCCGTTATTTGTTGTTTGAGTTTTTGTAGATGTTTCTCAGCCAAATATTTAAAAACTAGAATAAACACGCACACACACACAGTATGACTATGCAAGTAAATCAATTTTCATGTTGCAATATTTGGACTTACTATATAAACTTAAAATTACATTAGATTAGAAGCATGCAACTGAGTTAAAAATTCAACTTTTAAAAATGACTTGTGCAGTATCTGACAACAGCAGAGAATGTACAGTGTGTCCAGTGAGAGATGGAAGTGCACTTGTACACACCGTCTCTGCCGTTTGAAAACCTTGGATCATGATGAATGATGCTACTAACAGTAACAGGACTCATCCCTTTCTGCTTTTGTTTTGAGACAAGGCCCAGGCTGGCCTGGAACTCCTGCCTCTACTTTCTAAGTACTAGGATGTCAGGCACCCATCCACCAACCAGGCCCTGCTTAAACTAGTTCACTTTCCTTTCTTTGTCTGAAGAAAACTATACAGAATAAAGACCCAAGTGACAATCCAGTTGCAATCTAAAAATGAAAATTCTAGAATAAGAGAAAAATCTCAAAATTTTCTTTTATCTTATTTTCTTTTGTTTGTTTTTTTGAGACAGGATTTCTCTGTATGCGTGGCTGTCCTGGAACTCACTTTGTAGACCACGCTGGCCTCTAACTCAGAGATCTGCCTGCCTCTGCCTCCTGAGTGCTGGAATTAAAGGTGTGTGCCACCAATGCCAAGCTAATCTTATTTTATTAAATTTGAAAATACTGAGACATTTTGCTGTCTGATGGAGTCTCTACTATAGTGGAATAATAAAGCAATTCATTAACTTCTAAAATTTATGCATGAGAACTACATAGATGTATACATTAATTTTATTTCACACTTAATTTTATTTTAGAACATCTCTCTCAGTTATTTACTTTGTGTGTGTGGTACAGGTGTGTGGAGGCGGGAAGACAACTTGTGGGAATGGCTTCTCCTCTCCTCCCACTCTGTGGGTTCCAGGGGTTGAACACACTGTCAGAGTTGGCAGTGAGCACCTTCACCTGCTGAGCATCTTGTTGGCCCTATGGCTTAGAGTTTAAGAGCTAAAAAAACAAAAACAGGCAAAGAAGTAGCCTCCTGAAAATCTCTGGCATTTCTGGAAGAGTAAGTAACAAGTAATCATGAATATCAGTGAATAATTAAGGACCCTTGGAGCAGAATACCTTCAAAATTAACATAATGTGACAAGAAGAAACTTGTGTTCTCAAATTGTTTTGAAATCCAATTTCTAGGCATGACAGAAATAGCAAGTTTCTTGTTACAATATGTTTTTAAAGAGGGGGTTACCTTCGTTCACATTCAGGTCTTCCTTCACAGACGTCCTGTAGAATCTTAACTTCAGCCTCTTGGCCAGAGCCTCAGCTTCCTCACTGCACATGAAACAAACAAACAAACTTTTCAATCATATCTGATGAGAAACACTGGAGCATGGCTGGAGGAAGGGGAGGGTGGGAGGAGGGGTGCAGGGCCCTTTCTGAAGAAGCCTGACATGGCTCCCCTTTAACTAACTAAAATGCATGGAACACCAAGTGCTCAGTGCTCGAACAGGACTTTGACCTTCACTGTTCTTGTGGGGCAAACACAAATCACCTACCATAACTGTGAACAAATGCATTTCTATTAAAGTTGCAAAACAATTATACATCACTTTTCTTTAAAATATCTAAATTTGGGGCTGGGGCCTTGGCTTAGCTGGTGGAGTGTTTGCATAATGTCACAGGCCTGTGAATTCCAGCACCTCAGAGGGAGACAGAAGAAGGGTCAAAAGTTCAAAGTCACCTTCAGTTACAAGGACTGCAGGCCAGTCTGGGCTATATGAGACCACTATGAAAGACTATTTCTCTTTAACACCACTTGAATTGATTACACTGTAAGCTGTTTATTTTATTCTACTTACTAAATAATAAAGTGAGAACATTAATGGCTACATCAGTAAGCATACATTTTAGTTTCATGGGGACTCTTTTGTTTGTAGATTTACTGGGATTGTGGTTTCCCTGCTCCAAAAGGGCTCCCCAGACTCCTGTTGTGCATTCCCTGTGTAGCTCTTCCCACTCTGTAACCAAGGTTGGCCAGTGTCTGATAAAACATTTCTGAGAGGTCATCAAAGTCATTATAGTTCCTCTCTGGGGAAATGGCTGTCATGTTGTAAGAATATGGAGAACACTGAAGTAGCCCTGTAGAGGGCTGTCCCCAAGTGAGTGAGCCACCTTACAGTGGACCTCCACCAGGTGTGCTGGACATGAACACAGCCCCAGCATGTACAAGGCCAAGGCTGGATGAGTCTGAGGTTCCCCTGGATGGAGAAGGAGCTTATGCCAGCCTAGGCCATAGAGTGAGGCACACACTATCAGAAAGCAAAGCAGGAGGACAGCAAGAGAAAGAAGATGTAAAATAAAGCAAGTGTTTCAAGTTAGCAAAATATTAATAATGAAGAGTAGATATGTGTAGGTCATCTTACTTTTTGATACATGTGTCGTCCAGCAGATCAATCTTGTTTTGTACAAGCACAGTTGGTATATCTCCAACTTCTGCGACTACCTTTTCTCTCCAGCTGGAAATTGCCTCAAAAGACTCCCTGTCTGTGGTAGAAAACACAAGCACACAAGCCTGGGCCCCTGTAAGATCACAGAAGGAAATGATTACCCAACTGGCAAAGCGGCTGCGTGCAGGGCATGGACAACTTCCACCTACTCAGACCAATTTCCAGGGGACCCCCACTGCATGTGCTCTAATGGTTTGCTATCCTTCAGTGGACTTTCTGGTTGAAAAGCACAGGCTGTTATGAAGAATGAAGGGCCAAAGTGTCAAAGTAAACCCCAACTAAACACGTTAGGGTTAAAACAGTAGGAAGCATGGCTTAGCCCAACAGAGAGGTGGGAAGGGCAGAAAGCTAAGCAGGAATGACTAACTTTTGCTAAAAGCTTTGTGGTAAGATTTATCATCTGCTTATAGCACAGGTCTCAGGAAACTCCAAGAAAGCAAAGCAAATGATTTACTTGATCTGTTTATTTACTTTTAAATTGTATTATTTTAGTCAGAATATCAGTGATTGTCTTAAGGTTACTGCTGCTGTGATGAAACACCATGACCAAAATAAACTTGGGGAGGAAAGGGTTTGTTTTTCTCACAGTTCCATATAGCAGTTCATCATCAAAAGCAGCCCGGGCAGGAACTCAAGCAGGGCAGGAGCTGATGCAGAGGCCATGGAGGGGTGCTGCTTACTGGCTTGCTCAGCCTGCTTTCTTAAAGAATCCAGGACCACCAGCTCAGGGATGGCACCACCCACAGTGGGTGATTCCTCCAGCATCAATTACTAATTAAGAAAATGCCCTACAAGCTTGCCTACAGCCAGGTCTCAAGGAAACATTGTCTCAATTCTCCCCACTCTCCAATGACTCTAGCTGTGTCAAGCTGACAAAAAACTAGCCAACACAGTGATCTAAAAAAATATGATAACCAGTGTCCTGAGCCCACACACTCACACTATGATGGCCTCGATGTTCTTTTGACAAAATTTCAGCTATCAGCTGTCACATTAAGCTATTGATATCTAAGACTGAAAACAGAGCCAGGTGTTGTGGCTCACACCTTTAGGCCCAGCACTAGGAAGCAGAAGCAGGAACACAGCAAGTTCCAGGCCAGCCTAGTCTACATAATGAGACCCTATCTCAAAACAAAAATTTAGTCAATAAACTGCAATCCCCTGGAAAAAGCAGTGACTCCATATTAATTCTCATACCCTGGCAATGTTAGGTCCAAAGTCTCCCCTCCTCTTTTCTCCCCCCCCCCCCCCCAGCAGTGCTGGTGGCAATGCCCTAAAAAGGAGGACTCTGACTGGGTCCACAAAGGACTGCTATTGGCCTAAATTCAGCATTCCTTGAGATCTTTCCTCCAGTTAATCCTAACAGCCCGTAACTGCTCAGAACACCCACCATGCTGACTGTATAAAATCTCTGCTTCCTGTCCAGTTGCTGTCTTCTATTCTTGAAGGTAGACCAGTAGTTTGTTTCCCCAGTAAACTTTTCTTTCTACCCAAGTGGTCTACTTCAGTGGTTTTACTGTGCCCTTGCTTACAAAAGTGACAGTACAGGCTCAAGAGAATTTTCTAGAATCTCAGAAAAGACTAAACCCATTTCCTGTATCTCTGTGACCCACAGGAGCCACCCTGTGATCTCATTTAGGTTCCTCCAAAACCCTTTGAAGAGAACAGCTAAGCCCCCCAAAAAGGAACAGATTCCACTTTTGTAACGGTAATGAAGTAAGACTCTTCAAGAGGCCGGCATCCATGCTGTCGCCTCTTTTTCCCCAGAAACAACTGACTCTAACTCTACTTCATACTGCCTCATCCAGAAGTACTCTACATGTGATCAGGGATCTAGTTTTGCCTGAGGTCCCCAAAAGATGAAGACAATGCCACAGGCTGCTGCCGGGGACAGGGTGGAGCACTACCTCCACTCCTACTTCTGCTAACTGTGCCAGACAAACCAGGAAGAGTGAGAAAGAGCTCAATGTTACTTGAGAAGTGAAGGGTCAGAGAAAAGACAGCCTCCCTCCAGCTATTAGGTAGAATGCAACTGAAAAAGGCCTCGGTGGACACTGGCTCAGACAGACGATGACCCTGGCACAGCCCCTCCCTGTGGGACAGCTGCAGAGGCCCTGTTCTGTTCCAGTCACAGGTTTCCCACCACCTCAAGGAGTTTATGTTTTTACTTGTGGTTTCTTGTTTCCGTGGGGCCTTGGCTTTCTGAGGGCATCCCCAGGAGGACCTGGTATTTAAATACTCCAGCTTCCTGAGGCAGCACTACAAGGTTCTTTAAAGGGACTGGCCCCAAGTCGCCTACAGTGATAATTAGCTTCTATGTTCAGTACAGTAGACTCAAGCTACTGAAGCTCCTTCCCTGACTACCCCTAGGTCTTCTACTTCTTTCTAGGATCACACCGTAAATAAATCACTGGATGGAGGTAGGGCTCAAGGAGAAACTGCTAAACTTTTCAAAGACAACATAATAAAAAACTGTCTATGGAGCCATAGAAGAAAACTGGAGTCATCCTGTGTGAAAAAGGAAAGCAGGCACAACACAAAACTGCTGACAAACACACCAATGACCATCAACACTAGCGCCGAGACAACAAAAGTAAGTCCTAAAACCAACTTCAATTTCCAGAAAGAGAACAAACAGATCTCCAAGCATGGTGATTCACCTGACAGTGAGTTTCAGATCAGATACGAACGAATCTAGCTTAATCTCATAGAGACATGGACACCTCCCTTGAAGGGTAGTGACTGACTCCCACCTTCAAGAGCCACCAACTGGTGACAATTCCTCTGCTGGGGAGGAGTGTCAAGGGCCCTTCCCTCATACACACTGCAATTTTAACTGGCTTGATGGATGACAGGTCTTGAACAGCTAGGCACAGCTGCTGTGAGTTGAGTACAACAGCCATGCCATGCCCAGAAGTCAGTATTGCACAGCCCTCTTCCCTTCTGCCAGCTCTCACACACTTCCCACCCCTTTACAGCGATGTCTCCTGCACTTTGACTGGGGGGAGGGTGAAACAGATGATTAACCCACAGCCAAGCACTCAGTTACCTCAGCACTTTGTCCATTTCTAGATGTCTATATTAACCACTACCCACTGAAAACATAAGCAGATTCAGTCTGTGATTGACAGCGACATAAACCTATGGATATAGGCACAAATAATTATAAGGCAATTTAATAGCATACCATTTAACAAATCAACAGTAGGTTTCCCCACCGAGGACCTAAGATCTCCTCAGTTGTGGGCTTCTGACTGGGTTTATAGTAGTAGGCATGCAATCGCTCCTGTGAAGCAGTGCCATACTCAATCAGAAAGGAGCTGGTCACCCCCATAACTGTCAGACGACTACTGTACCAATGGGCACATATTGCCAGGGATGTCTGTTATGTTACAGCATACAAGGTCCCATGCTAAATGAGAGCGCTGATGTCTTTTCTCCCCCAAGGGCCTGCACAGTGCCTTCCAGCCCTACAAAAGCTAGCTATCTAGGAGAGTTTCCTGGTCAGGAGAGGTTGATTCCTTTATGTCCTTTATCCAAAGGGAGTGGAATCTTCAACACTAAGGTCTTACCGTTTGGAGATGGTGGTAAACCATGAGAAATGACAACACTAGTACCTCTGGGGCATTGCTTGGGGCATTCCTCTGGGTACCTTAGGGAGGTACCTTGTGTCTAGCACTGAGATTTTCATTAATAAAATTCCCCTGAGGACTTACAGAACAAAGTGATGCCTTGTTAAATTCTGCACTTATGGAAAGGTGGGAAGATTTGGCCATTTTGGTCAAGGGGAATAATATAGCATGGGCCTCCCTTGTCACCTTAGAAGATCAACTCACTGCCCAAATTATAAGACTAAGATGGTGAAGGCTTCTGAACTCCCCACAGCTGCCCCTCAGACAAACCCTGTAGATTTTCAGCTGGAGAAACTGCAGGGTGTCAACTCTTCCACTGCTGATTTGTGTCCTGCTCCACTGTTAGGACATGACTTTTTAAAAACACAAAATATTTATAGCTCCTTCTCCCCAAAGGGAAAGATGATTTTAAACTGGGGGACATAGGAATCCTCTTGTCCGCCACTGTCTCCACATCACCTATGAAGAAATCAGAAGATCCCTACAAGAGGAAACGGACAGCTTCCCTTCACAGGTACCCTGGGAATCATAGGCAAAATCCTCAACAGACACAGGACAAAGAGGATCAGTGGCCCTGGCTGGGGACAGGTAAAGACAACCCCAATATAAATGATGCCCTTGGGAAAGAAGCCCAAAGAGGAGTCAACCTCTATAGAGGAATTCTGAGAAAAGGGTTTTTAACCCCTTGCAACACCCCAGTACCAACAAGGAAGCCAAAGGGAAGAGAATGGAGGCTTGTGCCGGAGCTCCAAGCCATAAATGAGTCCAACTATCCCTCACTGTCAGTGGTACCTGACCCACACATCTTGTTATCTAACCCTCCTCTAAAAGCAGCCTGCTTGTCAATGCCAGGTCTTTGCAGTGCCTTTTGTAGTAACCCTGATGAGTCAAACAGCCAGGATTTGTTTGCCATCATGTGGGAATGTCAGCCATGTACGTGCATTGTGATGCCACAGGGTTACACATAGTTTCTCCAATTCTTAGATACGGTTTACAATGTTCTCGTGAGTCTACTCCGACACAGTAAGTCAATGACCTGATCGTGCTCTCCTTCACATGGGAATTCTCGAAGACACAATCTTATTGCAGGGACTAGCTAAGAAGGGCCATAAAGTGCTAAGATACAAAATGCAGTTTTGTCAGAAGGAAGATGAACACCTGGCTACATAGTGACTTCTTCAGGATTCATCTTAACTCTTGAACTGCACTTCTGATGTTGCAAGAATTTTCTTACCTCTAAAACAAAACAAAACACAAACAAATAAGAGGATTTCTAGAACTAACTACTTATTAATTGTTCAACTTTGTGTAAACTTAAACAGGAACAACCAGATTCCACACAGCTAGACCCGAAGAAAATGCAGCAACTGAGGCCTATCAAGCCCTGCATTCGGACACCCAAACTATAAACCTCCCCCCTTTCATTCATGAGAAACATGGGGGTGCAGTGGGCATGCTGACTCAAAATACTGGGAGAAGACACAGCCCCTTGGTATGTGAGTCAGCAATGAGACCTGGTGGCTGGAACACACTGTCCTGTCTGAGGGCTATCCTCGGCCACAGCTGCTCTTTGAAAACAGCTGGGGAGGTAGGTCCCTTTCTCTCTCTCTCAGCATGCATGTGCCCCATCACACAGAACTTCTGCTGAAGTCACATTACGCCTAGGAGTTGCCTAATTTTTTAAGACTTATTTTTATGTGTATTTATGCACATTTTGCATGTATGTATGGATATATGCACGTATGTGTGTGCACTACATGGATGCTGGCATTCCTGGAGGCAAAAGTGGGTGCCATATTGCCTGTGCCTGGAGTTACTGATGGTTTTGAGTCTGAAGTGCATGCTAACTGCTGAGCCACCTCTCTGGCCCTGAATTGGTTAGGTTCTCAGGAAGCACTGTGCTCTCATCTCCAGAGGCTCCCTGCTGCACTGCATTTCTCTCAATCCCCTGCCCTGCTCCTTATATCAGCTGAACTAGAAGGAGAGACAGTGCTACTCAAATAACTGATCCACATCATTCTCCTAAGACGCCACTGGAAACATCTGCTGGAAATGCAGACTTACTTTATTTATAAGATGAACAGGAACATTTTCTGTCAGGATATTTAATTACGTCCATTCTTGATATAAACTAAGAGTATCATGGCCTGAGATTGAAGCTGCTCTAACCACTAAACTCATTATCTTAACTGGAGCATGCTATTTACCAGAAAACAAAACAGCTAATGTTTATGCAGATTGTAGCAACGCATTTAGAGTGGTGCGTGACATGCTATAAACTATTTCTGACTTCCTCTGACCAGCCTATTGAAAACAGTCAACAAATCTCAATTCCTAGATCCCAACCATCTGCCTTAATAATTACCCATTATTAAAATCTCAGGACATTCTAAAACAACAAAGAAGTAATACTCAGGCTGGTAGAGCTGCAAAAAGGGCTTCACTATAGACAACCACACAGGAAAGATCCATCCGTTCATGATGACCACTCTACTTCTGACGCAACAGATGGCACCACTTCAGAAAAAAAACCCTGGCACCAGAAGGCTACAGTCTCAACTCCCAGAGTCATCTCTGATTAGGTCCTATTGGCAAGCCCCTAATACCCATTAAATGCCCAGCTCCCCTTCTGGAATACACACCCATTAATTCATTGGAACGGGAAAAATGGTCCCCTGGAGTAAACAGTATTTTTGGAAGCCTGTCCCAATGATAACTCACAAGGCATACTTGAGATATTCTACTTGTCCCAAACACAATCTTGTGAAGATTTCCGCTCTTAGAAAAGAAGCCACAACAAGGCTCTGACAGGGAGGCCCTGTTGGGTGCTTTAACTCCCTCAGTGCTGCAGCACTTCAGGGTGGACTTGACTCCTGTTTCCACCTCAAACCTCCTCCTGAGGTCACATCTAGGCTCCGGGAGGGTTGGATGATCCTCATCTATTGCCCCTTCAAATAAGGCCACAGTGACAAAACTCAAGAGCCTAAGCCATGTCCTCTGAGAAATGTTTTGAGAAATTTTAACATACACTTTAGTATTTTCCTTAGATAAAAAAGAAAAAAAACCCAACTCAATATTGAAGACTTGAATAATGTCGTCCCCTCTTTAGCCATGTTGTTGTGCCTGCTTCTTACCTAAACCTTCCATGATACGTACACCAAGTCTTTATGCTTGGAAAGATCCAAATTTCTCACTACCCACCGAAAAGGACTTAAATTCAGTACAACTTGGATTTTCAAAAAATTCCAGGAAAAGCCCTAACGTAAATTTTCATGCCTAAGGAAATTCCCATTTGGTGTTAACTCTATTTTAGAGCTTCAACCCCTATAGCCAAGGCATTGAAATAAATTCTCTCCACTTAAAAAGAAGAAAGGAAACTATTTTAACTTGATCCAACCAACTGTGTTGCCACCGATGTCGAATGATAAGATACATCAAATCCCTGGCTGAAACGGCTGCCCTGCTGAAGCTGCCTGTGTTTCCTGTGGTGCTGGCATAACCTGTCCAATGACCATCTGCCCAGTAAATGTGGCCTGGACACCTCACAGTACTGTACCTAACAAAACCCACTAATCACAATCATCCATAGGAACTGACTTGGTGACCACAAATTCCAGACGACACTCCCAGCACCTACATGGTGGCTCATCACCACCTATAAATCCAGTTGCAGGGCCTCCACAATGCTCTCTTCTGGCTTTCATGAGAACTGTACACATGCAGTGCACATACAGATATGCAAGCAAACACTTGTACACATGGAATAAAAATTAACTTTAAGAAGAAGAAGAGGGGGAAAGATAGGAAACTCTTGTGAAGGAAAATGACTAACTTGAAGCCAAAGGTGGGGAAGAGCAGGTACTTTAACATATCAGACTGTTAACAATGTTAATACAGATGGGGAAACAGCCAAACTTCTCTTTTTTTTTTCCAACTTTTTTTTTATTTGAATTAGAAACAAGATTGTTTTACATGTAAATCCCAGTTCCCACTCCCTCTCCTCCTCCCCTACCATCCTCTCCCCCCCAAACCCTACCTATCACATAATCCTTTCTGCTCCCCAGGGAGGGTGAGGCCTTCCATAGGGTATCATCAGAGTCTATCATATCCTTTGGGATAGGGCCTAGGCCCACCCCCCCGTGTGTCTTGGCTCAGGGAGTATTCCTCTATGTGGATTGGGCTCCCAAAGTCCACACCTATGTTAGGGATGAGTACTGAACTACTACAGCAGGTCCCATAGATTTCCGAGGTTTCCTCATTGAAACCCACTTTCCTGGGGTCTGGATCAGTCCCATGCTGGTTTCCCAACTATCAGTCTGGGGACCAAGAGCTCCCCAATGTTCAGGTCAACAGCCAAACTTCTTAATGCAGAGGTTACAACAATGCTCTATGGACGTTTTATGGAAAATAACAGATGGTGTTTATAACTTAATACAATTCAATGTAAGAGCCCATATTCCCTGATTAAAGGAGTCTTCGTGTCCAGTTAGCTAGGTTTAGAAAAATACTAACTAGACTCACATTAGGCCAACAGGAAATGGGTGAATACTACTACAGAGTGACTCCTACTGGCATCTACTTCCCTCTGTGTAAACTGACAACTAATTTGTTTCACCCATGATGCTTCTCTCACAGGTGTGGCTTCTTTTTCCTGCCCTCATCAGAAATATTTGATACAAGAGGAAAGAACAATTCTGCTGAGAAGGAATTAAGAAGACACTGTATTGTTGCCTGATTTCTTCTGTAACGTAACTTTCCCAAATTGGAATCTGGTTCAATATTAAGATAATAGGACAAGTTCTGTTATTATCTACAAATAAGAGTTACCATAGCTTAGATATTGAACACCAATCCCTTCTAAAATTAGAGCTAGCCACTCTACATGCAGTAAGCTACAGAGTCAAATTGGATAGAAGCCTGGAATTAAAAGGTAATGAGCTATTTCAAGTGTTCCAAACATCAAATAAAATGTTCCATGAAGTATCAATGATTGTAGACAAAGGAGAAACATAAAATTAGTCCAGTTAAGCGGTGTGATGACACATACATACAAAGGATTCTTTGTTAAGGCATCTTTCCTCACCTGCTACCTTCACTCCATGAAGTCCAGCTGATGATTATAGTATTTCTATTATATATCATCTATAATATTCTTATTATATATCACATGTGATATAGTATATAGTATTCCTATTATATAATCATATAATATAGTATATAATATTCCTATTACATAGCACATGTATTATTATGTCAGAAACAGAGGACAAAAAATGCAGCTCAAATAATAAGGCTTAATAGATTTGATGTGATCCAGGAATTTCTTCCTTAATGACTTCCCTTGACATACCTTCCTTTCTTTTTTCTTTTTTTGAGACAGGGTCTCTCTACATAACCCTGGCTGTCCTGGAACTCACTCTGTAGGCCACCCTGACCTTGAACTCACAGGGATCCCCTGCTTCTGCCTCCAGAGTGATGTGACTAAAGGCTATGCCAGCATGCCTGGCCATTCCTTTCTCTTAAAGATTTATTTCTTTATTTCTTTTTTCTTTCTTTTTCTTTTTTTTTCTTTCTTTTTGCCTACTCAGCCTCATCTAGATCAGAAGCCAGGAATGAGCATCCTAGTGGTGGGAGACTTTAAGTACTTAAATATTTTACACTTGCCATGTGTACAAAGGGGGGCCTGTGGACAAGATTCCAGAAAAGAAGCTGTGACTACAAATGCAGACTGACTGTTTAGGGCTTCAATGATGTGGAGAGGGTGGAATGCTGTGGTCAGAGCCATGTTATCTTGGCTAGCTTCAGCCCTTTTATGCCACTTATTGCCCATCTTTGTGTGGGATCTAACACCCTTGTGGCTATGAAGTAAATCCTTGGGAATGCTTGGACAGATTCCTAGCTCCTTAACCCCAAAGCTAAGACGCTGTTGGCATCTGAAGCCTGCCTCAGAGATCTCCCCCACTTTGCTGAACCCACCTGTTGGATGTACTCATCCATGTATCAGAAAAGTGTGATTTATACTTTTCTTTATTCATATTACTTTATGAAACTGATGCCCCATTAGAATCCAACAGGAGCAGCCTGAACCTGTGTTCCTGGGCCACAGTCACTGGTATTTGGCTCCAGAATAAACCACCTGTTTACTCTGAGGTGAGTAAACTGTACTGTTTCTGTATGACACTATCTTCTTCGTTGAAGGCCTAGGATGTCCACAAGCTGTAACAAGGAGCTTGCTGTTTTCTCAGCTAGAAGGGGACAACCCTCTGGACAACTGGTACTTGAATTCAAGCCTGGGAAGACAGAGGCTGAGAGCAAAATGGACAGATCTACATAGAATAGGGAAGTGGGTGGGATAAAGAACAAGACCCACCTGGGGTGGGGCAGTGGGCAGGATAATGGGCAAGAGTCACCTATAGAAGAATCGCATCTGGGAAGGAACCGTGCTCCCCACAGAGGCACAACCAAGCCTGCACATGAATTTCAAATTTAGGAGAGAAGTAAATTTCAGAGACGGTGATGACGGAGTTCAGAACATGCTAGACCAAAAGTATAGCACTGCACTGCGGAGAATTTCCCCTGGAGCTCCCATGTCTTTCTTTCTAAATGTGGGACACAAGACGCTCAAGTGGGAAGGGACCACTGTCTGAAAAGGCAGCAGGGCACAGAGACAAATGTAAATAAATTGCCCTGCCCACTTCCTTATCGTCTTTTCTCAGGGGTCTTTCTTCAGGAAATCTATGACCAAAAGCACTAAAGTTTAACTGTTTCTTTGGGTTTTCATTTCCTCATGGAAGTTCCCATGTCACATAAAACATGCATTTGTGTAAAACCAAGAACCTTTTAGGGCAGAAGAGACGTACATTTTCCTTCCATACAAACTAAATCCCAGAAGGATGATGACGAGGAGGGGTGATTAAAATCTACTCCGTTGCATGCCCCTTTGTGTGTGAAACAGAAGCATTGGCTACTACTACTTTCTCAAGAGTTTTGGGGGAATCCCATGGAATCCCAAATGGCTTCCTACTGTGATTCGTGCTGTTGTAACCAATTTACAAGGCAGCACATGGAGGGTGGAAAGATGGCTCAGCAGTTAAGAGTGCTAGTGGCAAACCTGGCGGTGGTGGCACACGCCTTTAAACCCAGCACTCGGGAGGCAGAGGCAGGCGGATCTCTGTGAGTTCGAGACCAGCCTGGTCTACAAGAGCTAGTTCCAGGACAGCCTCCAAAGCCACAGAGAAACCCTGTCTCGAAAAGAAAAAAAAAAAAAAAAAAAAAAGTACTAGTGGCTCTTCCAGGTGACTTAAGTTTGTTCCCAGCACCTATGGTGTGCAGCTTACAACCACCTGTAACTCCAGCTCCAGAGGATCCAGCATCTCTGATCTCTCCAACATCTGCACAGATGTGGTACACACACACACATACACACATACACACATACACACACACACACACACACACACACACACACACACACACACACTAAACAAATACTAAAGGGGAAAAAAACAACACAAAAACCAACACCGGGTATATCAACCTTATTCCAAGGTGGAATCCCCTCCCCCTTTTTGAGAAAGAGACTCTGTATGTCTCTATGTAGCCCTGGCTGGCCTGGAAATCACTATGTAGATAAGGCTGGCCTCAAACTCACAGATATGGGCCTGCCTCTGTCTCCTGGGTGCTATGCTGGATTAAAGGCATAAAGCATACCCAGCTCCGATTTTGAAAATTAACAGCTAAAGACCATGCTACTTCCAGACTGAATCAATTTAACACACCTTGTCTGTGGCTTAAGCCAATTTGAAGTTGATTTTCTGTTTTCAGTGATCTTATGGAACTTATGATCTTATGATCAGAGGGATGCTGAATGAAGTCCCCTCAGATGTAAGGACAGTTGCTACTGTTTCTTTTCAATCAGTCTGTACTGTGACAAATGCTCCCCTTTGTAATTTACAAAAGGAAGCTGAAACAACGGAAGAACCATCAGTTTCCCACCCTCCCTTCCATTTTAACATAACTGGATACAGAGTTATATTATTATGATGAGCTTTTAACAGGATTCTATTTATAAACTTAAGGCCATTTTAAGTTAAAATGATAAATTTGCAGAAACCAAAGCTATTTAAAGCCTTTTTATCCCAGGGAAACAGTAGAAAGGAATTTAAACATCATGTTTAGAATGAAAACAGCAACACGATGGTCTTCTTTTAGTTCTGGCAAAGAACGTATTTTATAAACATAATAGAGAGAAATGGTATGATTTGTGATTACCTAAAATCTACTAAAGAAAACAGGCTTGGTGGTATAGTGCTGTAATTTTAGTACACAGGAAGCTGAGGCAGGAGAATCTAAGTGTGTGCCTAGCCCAAGTTTCAAGCCTCAGCAGCACCAAAACATAAAAATAAAACTGCAAAACCCCAGACTTACACAATTATGGAGAAGAAAATAAGCCAGATGCCAACATTATCTGGACGGAGGCATGAAAGAAAATGATGGGCCAGTTTCTGGCTGATTCTGTCTCCATGGCCCATAGGTCTCACATGACTTTAAGGTGGGACAATCTGTCTACAGTTCAAAGCTTTGCTTCTTTACAAGATCTTTTAAAAGGATACTGAACCAGAGCTTTTGAAAATGCTCTACAATTAACTTTTTTTTTTCTGAAGACCGGTTGCCCTATATATCCTTGGATGGCTTGAACATAGATTTGTCATAACCGTCATGCTCCTGCCCCTGGTTCTACCTCCCTAGTGCTGAGATGACAGGTGTGTGTCACCACATCTGGCCAACATGCTGTTACTGTTGTTGTTATTCTCTGGTTCTGGGAATTGAACTTGGAACGCAGTGCATGTTGGGTAAGCACTGTAACAGGGCTACGCCACAGCCCATATTTTATTCTTAAAGAGAAGCTCTTAAGTAGAAAAGAAAGTGTGCTGGTTGATATTGTCCACTTGACACAAACATAGACATGTCTGGGAAGAGGAAATGCCTCAATAAGATTGGTCTGCAGGCAAGTCTGTAGGGCGTTTCTATATTAGAGACTGATATGGGAGCGCCCAGCCCCCACTGTGGGCCGGTGGTCCTGGGTGGCAGAAAAAAGCAGGCCGGTAATCGGCATTCCTCCATGGTCTCTGCTTCAGTTCCTGTCCTGACTTCCCTCTGTGATGGAATGAGACCTGAGCATTGTAAGATGAAGTAAATCCTTTCCAAAGTTACTTTTGGTTATGGTGTTTTATCGCAGCAACAGAAACCCTAAGTAAGACACCAAAAAGGCAGTGTTCCTTATCCAGCCAGAAGAGTCTCTTATTTTACCTCGATAGTATGCTTTCGTTATTGCATCAAATTCCTCTTGGCCTGCGGTGTCCCATAACATTAGCCTGACATCTTCATCGTTAACTCTGAAAGAAGAGATGAATTTATTCCATACAAAATGAAAAACATTAATGTACATTTGAAAGTCTGAAAGCTCTATTGTTGACTTCATTCTGAAAATCAGAGCAAAGCCCTTTTAAATGATGATGCAGCTAAGACCTTACACTCTGTCTGCCAGTGTTTTCTACAATGATAGTCTTAGTAGCTCTAAGACCAGCAGAACTGGGAAAGGGGAACCCTGTGGGTCAGATCACTTTCTCCTCTTACTACGCAACCCTAAATGGGGTTTGGTGCCCTATTGATTAGTAAGAATACAGAAGGAAGCAGCCAGCTCGGTTGACCTCTACTTTGTCATGTAGCTGAATCTCACCTCAGTAGCTATGGTCTGTATCGCTTTGTTGTGCTGGAGAACAAACCCAAGACCCTTTGCACGCTAGTCAATGCTAGTAATGTGCTTTATTGCCAACTTGTACCCTCTGCTTTCAAATGTTTCTGTGAATATTAAATTAGCAAAAACAGAGCCACCCTATTCCTGGGGACAATACAAGGTCAGGTTCCTCAGCATGATGATGCATACCTGTAATCCCAACACTGGATTTTGAGGCAGGACAATCTTGAATTTGTGTTATAAGACTGTCTCAAAACAAAAGTAAAGGAACTACCAGTTTGTATCATTAATTGACCTAATTTTGCTTTATGTGTTTCTACCTAAAGACACCTTATTACATAGTCATTCACTGAGCTCATGTCCAGCAGTAGAGTGAGCACTGTAATTGCTGACTGAATAACCCTGTTCTAACACAGTACTCTTCTCCATAAGGCACACGCAGCCTCTTGTACTCAGAAGCACCAGACAGAGCTATAGCTGGGGGCCATGTAAGACAGCCAAATCACTGGCACAAAAGGAGAGTGTGAAAAAAGTGCACTACACAAAACAAAACAGGACAGGTTTATCGTATAAAGGCTAAAACAAGAAGTAACTCCTTATTTGACCACAGCTGAAAAAGTACATGTTGGACACCTCCAATGTTTCTGTAGCTCTCTGTCTATCTGGTAAGTGACCACAAAAGCAGTGACTGTGATTTCAAGTAAGTTTTAGCAGGTTGGTGAATTTGCAGACAAACAGCCTATGAGTAAGGGCAGGAGAGATGGCTCAGTGGTTAAAAGCAGGCACATACTACTCTTACAGAGCACCTAAGTGGAGTCCCCAGATCAACAGCAGGCGGCTCACAACTGCCTGTAACTCGTGTTTCAGGGGATCTGGTGTCTCTGGCCTCTGCAGGCATCTGCATTCATGTGCACAAGCCCACCCCCCTCCACACAATTAAAAATGAAATAAATCTTTTTTTAAAGGCCTAGGAATAATGCAAAATCAACTAATATCCAAAATATTAATTTTTGCTTCACGTACATGTACAAAATACAAATATCACCAAGACAAAGCGAGCCTTCTTAAAGTATGTTTTAAGGAGGCAAACGTGGATGTACCACAGAGTATATAGGGAAGACCAGAATCCACAATGACCATTATTTCTGCTGCAAGTTAGTAAGTGGGCAGTGAGTCAGGTACACTCCAAAGGAGGCTTTGAAGGCTCTCAACATTAGTGACAAAAAGCATCACTCCCAAGTATTTTAGAGTCCATTTGGATTTACTGACATAGGAGTTCCTTTCTGTGGGCAAATTTAATACTTCTAAACCTGTCTTTGATTTCTTGAGGACAGAGGTATGTTAATGCCTCTCTAACTTCTATTAAATTGTTCAGTTTTTTGTTGTTGTTGTTTTGTTTTGTTTTGTTTCTTAAAGGAAATAGCAGGTGTGGTGGTGAGCAAATGTAATTCTGAACACTGAGAAGGTAGAGGCAGGAGGATCAGGATTCAAGGCCAGCCTCTGCTACACAGCAAGTTCAATGCCACACTCACCTACTCTGACTCAAAGAAATCAAATTAAAAGACAGAGACAATGTAAACAAAAGGAGCCTCTCAAAGGAAAATTATATGACAGCTGAGATGTTCCTTCTAAATAACAGAGCAAGGAGAAGTCAGTCAAGGGTCAGTTTGTCAAGTCCCCAAAGTGTCACTAATAAATATAAAACATACAGAAGCATGAAGGGAAGGAAAAAAAGAGGAAAATGAAAAACATTAGAGGGGGAAAAACTGCAAGAAAAAAAAACAAAATCAAAGTATATGACAAAACAAAACAAACTCCACCTGAGAACTACCCCAGGCCTGGATGATGGCACACACCTATAATTCTCAGAGACTAAGAAGGAGGAGAGCAGTTTGAGGCCAGTGTGAGCTACAACAGTGAGAACCTGTCTGAAAAATAAAAATATGTGCCAGGTGTAGCAGCTGAAGCCTGTGTAATCCATGTACCTGGGAGGTAGAAGGAAGAGACTGGGAGTTTAGGGTCATCCTTGGCTACATGGCAAGTGCAAGGCCAATGTGGACAACATAAGGCCTCGTTTAAAAGACTGAACAAAACAAACCACCAACAACAAAACCCAACAGCACTAACTGCTACGGGAGCCACTGACACTTGCTTCCTGGCTTGGACAGCAAGGCAGTTTCTCATTCCGGTAGAGTCTTAGACACTTTACAAATCAGAACCAAAGGCTAAAACGCCAAGTACATACTGAATCTGTCGCTCCAAAAAGTCAACTCCAATAGTTTTATTGTAGTCTTTTGTAAAAATGTCTTTGCAATATCGCTGAATCATACTTGATTTTCCAACTGCTCCATTCCCTACGACCACCATCTTGATGGCTACTTCCATATCTTCCTCCATCATTTTGAAACAGAAAGTTTCTGGACCGGCTCTAATTCCAGGCGATCAGATTGTCTCCGCAAACCTATAACTTAAAATAAAATTACTCTTATCAAGAAACAATCACATTACTTTATACCAATATGTCCAAAGGCTGAGGCTCCCAATCCACCCTTTTCCTTGTTCATCTTAGAAAGGTAAACACTGACACCTTATCCTTATCCGAACAATTGTCTCCTTCACAGAGACAGAGACTTGGCACTGAAGTTGAAGTACTGAATTCATTGCTTAGCTTCTCCATGACTCAGTTTCCTGGCAACAATATCCATCTCACAGAGTTGTTGACCAAGGATACATGTGAAAACTTCAGCAATGTGTGAGTTACACACGAAAATATTCATTTTACGAAATGCAATCCCACACAGTGTAACAACAAATGCATTATTAGAAACAAAACCTGAGAACAATGCTTTTCGACCCCAGAGACGTTTTGTGTAATGATATATAGTCACACTGAGCTCTTGTTAACTGAGTTAACTGTTTCGGTGCTCACTTTATAACGAGTGCCATACAAATTATCTAATGCCACAGATTCTTTGGTTTGAGACCAGTTATACAGTTTATCAGACAATCAAAGTAATATGCATATTTACACCAAAAAGAATAGGAAGTCAACTTCCTATAGTTCTTAAAATGACATGCACACTTGGCTATTATATTTTGACTCCCGTAACTGATAACCCAAACTGAATATTCCTAAGTCTTCAAACCTGCCCCCAGTGCTTCATAAACTTGTATGGTCCTAAGAATCTTCTAGAAGTACTTATAAAGATCTAGCCATACATAATCTGAAACCTCAGAGCAGTAGCCTTTGAATCTAATTTTGAAGAGAAGCACGAGCTGGGCATGGTGGTGCATATCCGCAATTCCAGTACTCAGGAGGCAGAGGAAGGAATATCACCACGAGTTTAAAGTCGACCCTGTCTACAGTGAAATCACAAAAACACAGAAAACAAAAACAAAAACAAAAACAAAAAACAAATAAGAAAACCCAAGAAGCACAAATGGACACAGCTTAGCCTTCCCTTCCAGGGTAATGCTTGTGCTGCCACCTTTGGGATCCACCACTGCCCATGCCTTTTAAGGCCATAAGAGAACCACTGGCTCTCAGGACAACTAGAGTGAGGCCAGTGTGCTCACTGTAGTTCCTCTTTGCACTGGGCTCTCCTTCCTCGAGATCCTCCTTTCTCAGGTGTCAAGTGGGCATTGCCATCTTAAGGCTCTTCTCTTTGGTAAGGGAGGGGCAGGAGCTTTTAGCTCAGAGGTAGGGGGCATGTTTTTATGCATAGACCCTGGGTTCAACTCCCAGCATCAAACCCTCCTGCCTCGGACAGGGGATTAGGAAGTGTGGCCTTCCTGGAAGAAGTGTGTCAGGAACTACAAGCGCACACCACCAAACCTGACTACAAATAGATCACATGACAACACCAACCATAAAGGCCAAAAGATCTTATACTGGTACTGACAAGATACTAACTCTAATAGGCTTTGACATATGTGTACATATGTGTGTACACACACGCACGCACACACACAATAATACCCAGAGCAATCATTCAAAAGCTCCTACAGATAAACTAAAGAGCAGATAGGGAAAAAAGTTACAGAATCAAATCTGTACTTACAGAACTCTCCCTAGAGTAGAATATACACTTCCTGTCAAGAATACACTAAGTGGGATGGGGGAGATGGTTAAGAGCAATGACTGATCTTCCAGAGGACCCAAGTTCAATTCCCATCACCCACACAACAATTCACAGCTATCTGTAATTCCAGTCCCAGAGGATCTGATGCCCTCTTCTGGCCTCCATGGGTACCAGGTGCACACATATAGTGTATAAACATACATGAAGGCAAAGTACTAACATTTTTTAAAGGATTAGAATGCACTGAGTAGATGTTTTACCAAGATAGAACATTTTCTAAGCCACAACAGACAACTGCTGTGAGATTGTGTCTCCTCAGAAGGTCAGATGATACATTCATAGAATCTCACCAACATGGCCGCCTAAGCTCATATAGATGAACTAAGCAAGGTCAACACCAATAGACAAGCTAACATACACTGAGGAAAGCTCACAAGACCTCAACCCTAAACAAAGAACTATGGGCAACTAAGGAATGCCGAGAGCTGGAGAAATAGTTTTACCAAGAGAAGAGCTGACTGATTGGTTATCCAATATCAAATGGTCAGCACTGTACACAAAGTCTCAGTAGGTTGGTTGTATTTAGACACACGTAACAATAATTAAATAAAAAGAAGTTATGGATTTGAAAGAGAACAAGACAGGATACACAGGAAAGGGAAGGGGGAAGCGATAAATGATGTAATTATAATCTCAAAAAAAAAAACATATTTTTAAAAGGGTCAACAAATCTAAAATACTGAAAGCCATACAGTGTATTCTCTGAACATAATGGACTCACACCAGAAACCAGTGACAGAATGAATAGGAAAACCTTGACATTTTGAAATGAAAAATACATTTCTAAGGGATCCAGGGATCACAGAAGCCTAGAGAGAATTAAGGAACTGGGTGCAGCCTGTAATCCCAGCACTTGTTAGAGCCGAGGCAGGAGGATCCTGAGTCTGAGGCCAGCCTAGGCTATATGGCTAGACCCTGTTTCCAGAAAGAGAAGTAGTATCTAATATAATCTATTATAAGTATAATAATAGAAAAATACAATGTGGGAATCCGTGGATGCAGCTACGGCAGTGCAGAAAAAATGTTCCAATAGGTGAGAGTGGACATCTCAATAGCCTAAGCTCTTAGCCCGGTGGGGCAGCCACAGAGCTAACTACTCAGGAGGCCAGGACAGGATAGCAAGCTCCAGGCCTGCTTGAGACCACCCCAGCCACTTACCAAGACACTATCTCACAATGAAAAGTAAAAGGCTGGGTTTGTAGATCAGGGGCAGTGCACTTGCCCGGCATGCCCAAGGCCCTAGGTTTAACCCCCAGAATCACCATAAAACAAAATCAAGTTTGAGAGATTGCACTGTCCAATTTTAAAACAGTGTAATTTGACATCAAGACAGTACGACACAGTAAGAGGAGATCCACACACCGTGCGTGCGGCAGGAGAGAAGGCTCAAAGCAGAACCACACAAATATAAAGCTTCACCTATACAATTAACTTAAAATGCACCACAAATGTAGACTTACAGCTTTAAGAGCAAGTCTATAGGAGAGGATATTCCTGATGGGGTTAAGGAGTTCTTAGACAGGAAACCAGAGGACGCAACATGAAGGGAAAACTGACAAACTAGACATCCAAGTGGATCCCAACCTGTGGATCTCAACCCCTTTGGCAAACCTCCAAAAGCATTTACATTACGATTCATAACGGTAGGAAAATTACAGTTATAATAGTTTTATGGCTGACGGTCACCACAACATGAAGAACTGTATGAAAGGGTCGAAGCATTAGGAAGGTTGAGAACCACTGTACAGGATGATGGCTCAGCAAGTACAGGGCAAGCTGCATAAGACTGGCACCCCGATCCCATGGTGGAAGGAGAGAACCGACTCCTGAATGCTGTCTTCCGACCTCGACAAGTACACCAGCCATGTGCACACTCTCCCTCACACAAGTTTCATCTACATGCATAATCACAATAATATAATTTCAAAACGTAAAAACATTAACCAGGTGTGGTAGCACACACCTGTAATCCCAGTATTTGGAAGGTGAGACAGGAGGATCAGAACTTAAGTTCATCCTTGGCCAGAGTGAGTTCCAGGCCAGTAGGGGCCAATGAGAATGTCTCAAACTAACAAAACAAAACAAAACCACTTAAACAACAACAACAACAACAAACAGTCCAGAAGGGTGGTGCATGCCTGAGACTCCTGCAGTTGTGACGTTGAGACAGGAGGATGACAAGACTACTCTGTATACCTATTTTGAGGACCCTTTCTCAAAAGTAAACAAATAAAATAAACATTTGTTGATTCAAAAGGTAATGAATAAGGAAGATAATGAACAGACAAGACACCAATTAGGAGAAAGCATTTTCAAAATACGTATCTGACATAATTGGTATCTAGAGTGTTAGAAGGAACCCTCAGGCTCAACCCAAGGAAATACAACCAAGTTAAAAACAAGCAAAAGAGCCGGGCATTGGTGGTGCATGCCTTTAGTCCCAGCACTCGGGAAGCAGAGGTAGGCGGATCTCTGTGAGTTCAAGGCCAGCCTGGTCTACAGAGCGAGTTCCAGGACAACCTCCAAAGCAATACAGCAAAACCCTGTCTTTTAACAAAAAACAAACAAACAAACAACAACAACAACAAAAAAAACAGGCAAAAGATGTAGACAGTGCACACACAGGAGTGTGTGTGGCACATGAGTACACAGACATTCAGTAACTGTGGCTATTAGTTAAAGGCACATGATACCTACCGATGACACACCAGTGTGTGTGTGTGGATAAAGAGCAAGGAGGAGCAACTAAACTGGTAGGAATGCAATGACACAGTCACTCTGGAATGGTTTTCGAGGCTGAAGATACAACTGAAGAACTGATTTCCTATATAAAATCCCCAAATCTCACACAACTCAATACCCCACAGAAATAAAAACTTACGTTCACACAAAAAACTGTGCAACACACATATGCACGTGTGCTCACACACATAAAATCAACCAATCAATCAATCAATTTATCTATCTATGGCCATACCACCCTGAACACATCTCATCTCAGAAGCTAGGTAGGTTAGTTAGATCTGGTTAGTACTTGGATGAGAAATTTATTTACTTTTATTTTATGTCTATTAATGTATTAGTGTTTCACCTGCATGTTTGTGTGAAGGCATCATCAGATTCCCTAAAACTGCAGTTATAGGCAGTTGTGAGCCACCATGTGGGCGTGGGAATCCAACCCAGGTCCTCTGCAAGAGCAGCCAGTGCTCTGAACTAATGAGCCATCTCTCCAGCCCCATCACAACTCTATACATATTCACCCAAACTGAAAACTACCCAAATGTCATTCAATGGGTGGATAATATAACTGGATATATTTGGCACATCCACCTAATTAAACACTACTTAATAAAAAAGGAGGAAATTATCCATCTAGGAAACAATGTGAGACTGATAACTTGCTTAATTGGCATAGTGTTTGCCTAGCTCCACAAAGCCCAGGATTCCATGCCTAACACGACACACACCTGTATGGTGGCACATATCTGAAATCCCAGCACTTGGGAGGTGGAGGCAGAAAAATCATAGTCTCATGGTTATCCTTGTCTACTGGAGCAAGTATGAGGCTAGTGTGGGCCACCTGAGGTCTTGTCTCAATAGAATAGGATAGATAGATAGATAGATAGATAGATAGATAGATAGATAGATAGATGCCAAAATAGCTAACATGAATGAATCTTGAATCTTAAAGGCATTATATATAGTCAGTGAAGAAGAGTTATCAACATCCCAAACTGTTACATTTAAATGACATTCTAAAAACACCAGTAATTCCAAGGAATCAGGAATAAGTAGTATGTTATAAAGACAGCATGGGGTTTTAATAAAAAATAGGGCTGACAGTATTGGTGGTTACACGAAACTAAAACTCTCCAAAAGGTTATTTTTACCATATGAAAGTTAAAAAATAATAAAGACGTGAAAGCAGATTGTAGATCCGGGAAATACTGTTGAGGCTCTCAGAAACTAGAGTTAAACACTGCATCCCAGCACGCAGGAGAAAGAGGCAAGTGGATCTCTGGGTTTGAGGCCAGCCTGGCTACATAGCAAGTTCCAGGTCAGTCAAGGCAACATAGTCCCTGTCCCAAATCTCTCTCTCTCTCTCTCTCTCTCTCTCTCTCTCTCTCTCTCACACACACACACACACACACCATCATAAGAAAGGCACACTTCTGAGCATAATTAAAAAATGGACAGTAATTATAAATACCCTTCCCTCTCAACTTAATTGTAAGTCCCTTGGCAACCAATACAATCCTTCGCGTTAGCAAAGGATGGGTCAACTTACTAAGGAAAGGGTGGCTGGGTTTGGTTTTTCCGTCGTGCAATAGCCTGTACGTTTGAAAAAGCACAGGGATTGATTGTTCCTGTCGCGCAGCCCCGTGGGGACCTTGCCTCGCCCGCCGGAGTGAAGTTCTCACACACTGGGGCTCCTGCTCCCTGGAAACCCCTGCCCCCGCCC